GCACAGGGGGGGGGTGCAGCGACGCCCATTCGCCCATGTATCGCGGAGGGGGGCCCGATGGTCCCAACCTGCACAGGAAGGTGCGGATCCACTATCGGGGGCCTATCGCCGCTCTATCGGCGATGTATCGCAGGTTGCAGCTCGATGCGTCCCCCCTATGCCAGTCTTCCCCTATCGTTGCCCCGCAAGGAAAATGAACCGATACCGCTACTCTGTATCCCTCAATAGTTCTGGGGGTACTTGCAGTCTGGGGATTGTACCTGAAGTGGGGTACCTGTAGTCCGGGGGAAGGGTACCTGTAGTCGGGCGGGTGGTATATTTGCAGTCTGGGGGGGAATGCCTGTTCACGCGTTAACGCACGCGTGGATTTAGTCTTGTGAGGGTACTTGTAGTCCGGGCGGGGGGTACCTGTAGTCGGGGCGGGGTACCTGTAGTCCAGGGGGGGGGGTACCTGTAGTCCGGGGTGGGGTACCTCTAGTTCGGGGAAGGGGTACCTGTAGTCCGGGGGGGCACCTGTAGTCTTATTGAAGGACACAGAGTGCGCTTCCTGCGATTTCCCCTCTTGGGGCCTCCTGTGAGGCTCCTCTCGCCACCGCTGGACGCGCCTCGAAATTCTGGTCAGAACGCACCCTGCCTGGGAGAGGTCCGGGGAGTGGCGGCATCGATTACCTTGTGGTTTCCCCAGGGGGCCCGCGGCCGAGCCGATCGCCGTCCAGGCCGCCGCGCTGCTGGAGGACTTCGTCGTCCCTGAGATCCTGGTGTTGCAATTTTCCACAGCGAGCGTTTTCGCCCAGTCTCGGGCGCCGGGACCCTCACAGATCGATCCGGCTCGAACATTGACGCAGAAATGTGGGGTCCAGGGCTCCGGTCGTGATGATTTGCGATGCTGCATTGTTTTTGCAAGGTTGGATCTCAGGGGTCCTCGTCGTCGTCGTCGTTGTTGCCGGACGTTGAAAGCAGGTATTCTGGGACTCCCAGGTTCCAGCCTACTTCAAGCGCCTCCCTGCATTAATCTCACCACCCACCAAACCTCCCCAACCCAACCCGAAGGCCTCAATTTGCCCTCCATTTCCAGTGGAGGGTGGGTCGGGGAACATCGAAAAAAACACATGGAACCCGTACCCCCCCCAACCCGAAATTTGGGTCCAATTCGGGTCTTCGGGTTGGGTTGGGGTGGTCTTTTAGGTAGTCATAGTCATCGAGTGGCGTTGCCTGTTCTTTCCTCTTTGGGTGGCGGGCGGAAAAGCCCACTCTCGGCGGCGAGCCCAGGGGGGGAGGCAGAGGGGGCGGGCCCTCTCAGGAGGCTCGGAAGGCCTCCGGCCTTCTGCGACGCCCCGCCGGCCTCTGAGAAGGCTTACCCCCTCTCGCGTGCCCCCTGGGCTCGCCGCCAGTGATCTGCGGTCGACGCCCTCCTACCTCATGTCCGTATACCCACTGCTTCCGAACCGGTGCGTGCACACGTTCGTTTGGAGGGGCCCGCCCGGCGGAGCTCTTCGACGCCGATTCGCATCTAGTTCGACGCTGGCTCGAGGCTGGCTCGGCTCCAGTTCGGCCTGAGTTCGACGCGAGCCCGACCGACGCTCGCCGCAGCACGGAGGCACGGGTGGAGCGGGGGGTTCCAGGAAGGCCCTCAGAACGAGCATTTGGGCTCCGAGAGGCTCGATCGACCCTGCCCAGACCCCCAGCGGAAGGCGGGGCCCATGCTTGGCCTCGGGGCCGTCAAGAAGCTGCTCAGGATTGGCAGCCAGCGCTGAGGAAGTGGTCGAGCCAAGCTGTGAACAGATCTGAGGTAGGGGTCCAGGTCGGTTCTGAAAGGTCTGGTCGATACACGTTTGAATGTTTGAATATGTTTGGGTTTCATTGGGCGCTCTCGTCGCCTCGGCGAAATCCGCTTCGAGATTCCTGCCAGAACGCACCACAGGAGAGATCGAGAGGGTCGACCTTGAGGCGTGGTATCCATGATATTTCTGGCATCGCGAGTAGAACGCCGACGGCCGCCCCCTTTGCCTTCCTTGATATCGAAATGGAAGTTCTGGAGGCTCGTTTCAGGCTCAGGTGCGATCGCAACACGGCCTGGGATGAGACACCAGACCCGCAGGGACGGGGTCGAATGGTCCGCGGGCCCACGCCATATACAAAGACATACGACGTCGAGGATATGGGTCGCGCGCCGACCCCCAGACGCCTGCAGCCCTTCTTTTGGGAGGGGTGCTCGGAGGGCTGGACACGGCTTGGACAGCCGATACCGACAGCAACCGGGAGGAGTCGGGGGTTGGGAAGATTTTGACGGTAGGATATCGGGACATGAATCAGGATTGGTTATTTTGCTCCGTTTCGGCCCCCAGGAGTTTCAGGGATCAATTTCGCTCAAGACGAGACAGGTCGAGATTTTTTGCCACGATTTTTCTCGAAGGCGTCAGCGGCGAACCATTGTCGCGCATGGCCGACGTATTGCGAAACTACTGAGCGACTGTATGGTACCCAAGCTGGTGTGGAAACCCTGTGGGGAAACGGTTGCGGGGGGAAGAGGGATGCTGATGATGTTGCTTATGCTGATGAGGAGGAGGAGGAGGAGGAGGAAGAGGAGGGAAAGGGAGGAGAAGGAGGAGGAGGAGGAGGAGGAGGAGGAGGGAAAGGAGTCCTCTTGAGGCCTCGTTGTGGCCTCCTGGGGGCCTCTAGGGGATTCTGAAGCCTCCAGGGGGTCTCTGAGGGGCTCTTGGGCCGCCTCTGGCCTACGGAGGCCCTCGTGGGGGCCCATCTGGATTGTCTTGCGGCCCTCTTGGGGCCGTCTTGGGGACATCTTGGGGCCGTCTTGGGCCGTCTACAGGGGCCCTTTGGGGGGCCTCGATGTGCCGTCATGGTGCTAGATTGGGGGCCTCTGACGCCACATTCGGACGGCGAGGACGCGACAATTACAGATCAACCTGAGGAACAATGACCCGGGTTTCCTTGAGGTCCTCTTGGAGGTCATCTTGGCTCTCTTGGGGCCTCTCCCCCTTCCCCAGTCGTCTTTGATGCGTCCTGGGACCATTTTGGAGTCCGTCTCTGGCATCTTGGAGGCATCTTGGGACGATCTTGGGCGGAACAGTCATCGGGAGCCGCATTTTCTGGTGGGAAGGCAAGTCAAGCCGAAGGCAATTTTGGTGAATTCTCAAACCGTTTTCGAAGCCGGAAACAATCTAGCGCGCCGAGCAATCTTGTGATAGAAACACAGAGGGCGGCGGATCGAATGGCGTTCGGCCCATCCCGCCACCGCGCCTGGGTTGTAGGCCAGACGCCTCTCGGACGCCGTTGGGGATCTGCAGGGAGGCAGGTCGGAAGCCTCTTGGAGGTGTTGTTGGGGTGTCTTGGCGGCCTCTCGGGGGCCGGTTGGGGGCCGCGTGTGGCCTGATTGGGGGTCTCCTGGAGCTGGGGCCTACCGGGTGCCCGCTAGCCGTCTCGAGGGTCATCTTATTAAGGCGAAGTGCTCGATAAGCAAGTTCGTGTTCCCCCTCGGGGGTCCTCGCTTAAACCCCTTTTTGGGGCCCTCTTGGGCCGGGTCCTCTTGGGCCTTCTTGGGGCCCTCTTGGGCCGTCTGGGAGTCCCTTTGGGGTGGACCTCTTGGACCGTCTTGGTGCAATCTTCGGACGCCCGAAACGGCGAGAACGCTGAACTCCGGCAAAAGCCAAGAGAACACCAGCAGCTAGCAGTTCTGGCTTCTCGGGGCCCTCTTGGAGCCCTGGGGCCTCTTGAGGGCTTTTTGTGCCTTCTGGAGGCCGTCTTGTGCGTCCTGGAGCGATCACTGGGCGACTCAGGGGGGCTCCGCAGTCCCGAGGGGCTCCTGGGGCTCGCCTGGCCTCCCCTCGGGCCCTCGTGGCGCCAGAAGAGAAGCGCGGCAGCACGACAGGACTCAGGACGGAGAGCTCAAGGGACCCGAGGACGTTCCAAGGCACGCCTCGCGGCACGGGAGCGGATACAGGGGTTCCGTTCCCTTTCCTCCCTCCAAGGTGGGGCAGATCGGAGGTTGATAGACCTCCTACCTTGACACGTCGATTAGTGAATTGGCCGTTTTCGGTTCGCCAGAGGGCGTCGCGGCCGTTATTTTGCGAGTCCAGGTCTGTCGGTTTCGGTCCTAGACCGTTTTCACTAGAAGGGAGGTTTATCCACCGCCGAGTAGAGTGTAGGCGGGGTGGGGGGGGCGAAGTTTCCTGTCACCGTGATTTTGGCTCCGAAGCCCGTCGGGGAGCCGAGGTGGAGCCGTCCGTGTGGTTCCAGCTGGCAAGCGGGGGAGGGGGGACTGTATGAAGATGTCGGATAAAGTTTCTCCTGGATGCGCTTAGCCAGCAAGTTTTGAATAGGACATCTCAGATCTCCGACGTCGTGATTGGTTCAATACTTGGCCTCTTGACTTCTCGACCGCTTCCCTGGCTTTTCATTAAGTTGTTTTTGTTCCAGGGGCCAACAAAAGGAGCTTCTGGAGGGCGAGGCGCAGGGAAAGTCCTGGCCGGCATGGACGGTACAACATAAATCATGGTGCCCCAAGTCTGCAGGACTGCGCGGCGGTGTTGGCGGCATTACCCCCTCCCCTCCCTGTCATCATGCTCTTTCGGTGCCCGCCCGACGCGAACCCCTCGGCCTCCAACACGGGCTGCCCTCCTGAGGAGGCGAGGTGTTTGATCATGAACCCCTTGGTGAACGCAATCATCCATCTTTCGCGCCGAAGACCGCTGGAAACCGCCAAAGACCGCCGAAAACCGCCGAAGACCGTCCAAAGACCGCCGAAGACCGCCGAAGACCGCCGAAGGCGGCGGCCCCGGAGCGATGGGTCACAGGGGTCCACGGTCGAGCACTTCAAGGAGGAGTGGCCGCGGCCGGCGGGCGTCCCTGGCCGGCTGGCTCGCTTCCGGAGGTCCTGCGAGGCTTTTCCGGCCCACTACGTGGTGCTCTCGGCTCCAGACGCCGAGGGGGCGACGCGGGCGCGGGCGGCGGGAAAGAGGGGGGATGCCGGGTGGGGGGGCGGCGGATTTCTTCCGCGGCTCTGGCATTCCGCCTCGCCTCCGCTGGGAGGTCGAGCGGCGTGCTCCAGCGCACGTGTGTCACTGGGAGACCTCCGTTCCCCGAGCAACAGAAACATTGCGAGGGGCACAGCCCCTAACCTTGTCGTAACACAATGAAGGCGCAGCCTGAGGCAGGCCTCAGATTTGAGGGATGAAAAGAAGATGGGACGTGTTGTGGATGCGTCCTGCGTCTCCGAAATTATGCCCCCCCTCAAAGGGTTAGGGGCCCCCTCCCTGCGAGCCCTTGGAGGTTGATTCTCCGTCTTCCTGAGCACGGGCGCCCCCCGGGGCTCCATGATCGAGAGAGGTCGGCTCGGAACAGCCTTCCACGCCGTGGGGCGGGGGGGGGAAAGGATCTGCGAAGAGTGCCGCCGCTGGAGTTCTCTCTCTGGCTCGTTCGGGCGGGCCCAGCCGTGCCTCCCCCACCGTGACCGGGGAGGGTTCTTCGAAGAGTCCCCCTCCGACCCCCCGACCTGGTCCAGTCCCCGACTCCAGGGGAGCGAGCAATGGCATGAGCACAAAAACTCAGAGGTCCGCGCGGATTTCTCGGATCGGAGCGCGCCAGGGGCGGCGCCAGAGGCGCCGCCAGGGTGGTCCCAGCGCCGATCCGAGAAATTTGGGCGGACCTCCGAGTTTTTTTTGTTTATGTCATTGTTCTTTCCCCTATTCTTTCGTCGACGCGCGCACGGGAGATCGGGCGGGGGGGGGGCCTCTGAGAAGGCATTGTGCTTCTCCCAGCAGGGCTCCGCGAGGGATTGCGAGCTGCCCCCAGTGCCTTCTCGTTCTCGGGAGGCCGTGCACCTCGGCCCGTCCTGCGCCCCCCACCCGACTCCCTAGGCGTCCTGGGCGACTCGTCAAATAATGATTTGACGGTCTGTGGGTTCGGCGCTTGCGCGGTCGGCGTTACGTCAATGCTGGCATGAGGCGTTTTGCCCACGCGCAGGGGTGTCCGAAATTCGGCAGTACTCTCGCAGCATTGAAGAACGCGTTTTCTGGCAAGTGCCCGAGCTGTCGGGCGCTTCGATTTCGAACGGCGTTTCAATCTATTGGTGACGAGGCTTGTCGATGGGAGCAAAGCAGATGGGTTCGGAAGATCGCGCCGGGCCGCTGATGCATCGCCAATGCGGCTCGATGTCGAGCCCGAGTTCCTCCACGCCGACGGCGCCGATGCGCCGTCGACGTCGCCGATGCATCGACGATACTTCGGCGATGCATCGGCGATGCGGCTCGGTCCTCCGACCCCGTCCGCCCAGCCTCCATCCTGGAGGCCTCGAGATTCTTGCCCGCCGCCCCAGGGAGAGGCGGGCGAGGAGGCCAGCAGCCCGGGGAGCTCGGAGAGCAGCCGCGGCGTAGGTCCGCGCCGGGCCTTTTCTATGCCCGTAGACCCACCGACCTGTGGAGACGTGCCCCCCATAGGACCTCGCAGAGTGTCGGACAGACCCGGCGGCGCAATCCGAGCCTTGCCCTCGCCGATCAACGATTCCGGCAACTCGATCGGCGGCGGGGGCAGGGTTCGGAATTCGCGGAGCACGTGGCGAACTCCGAACCCCACCCCCGCCTCCCATGGATTTAGGAGAAGCGGTGCTCGGCGGGGGTAGAGTTCGGATGTCGCCACCTAGATCTGGGGCCTTCCCCGCCCAAAGGTATCCGCACTACCCATGCCCCGCTCACGGGCATTGGAGCCGGCTGGGGGTCTAAGGTGGCCCAGCAATGGTACCGGTGAGCAGGGGGGAAGGGAACAGGTCTGAGGTTCTGGTTTCGAGAAGGTTGTGTGGCTGTTTTCGGCCTCCAGGGACAGTTTCTGGGCATTGGGGCCGTCAAACACAGATCCAGAGCAGAACCAATTGCACCAGATGGACCCCGGGAGAGGTCTTGGGGCCGATTTTGATCGGATTTGCCTTCACCCCTCTCATTCAGCATCGTTTAACCGATCCGTATCCCCACTCCCATCCCGAGCCCAACCATTTTACCACCCCAGTTGGGGATTTCCCCCTCGAAACCCGAGCGGAACATCTGATATCCCCATCTAGGGGGGTAAATAGGTGAGTGGGGCCCAGGCCACGCGTTGGTGGAGGGGTCGGGTAAACGATGCTCACTTCTTGACCGAGTCCCCCGAGGCACATACAGTTCAGACCCCCTGGCCGCCTCCAACACGGACACGTGTCCACTTGTGGAGAGTCTCTGGGCCTCCCAGGCGGGGTCGGAGTACGTTCGGTCGGAGGATGGCGCCGCATCGTCGATGCATCGGCGGAGCGTCAGCCACACGCACATGGGGGTAGGGGGAGGGGGGGAGGCTTCTCAGAAGGCTGCTTCTTAGAAGGCGCGGGCTTCGCCTTCTCTGTAGATGTAAGGCCTGCCCCCCCTACCCCCTTGAGCGCACCGCCAAAATCAGCTCGATGTGGAGCACGGTTTTCTTCACGCCGGCGTCGTCGTTGCACCGCCGATGCACCGCTGATGCATCGCCGAGGCGTCGGCGATGCATCGGCGATGCGGCGCGATCTTGTGACCCCTTCTGCTCGAACCCCAGCTCGGAGGCCTCTGGGGTACGGTAGGTTCGCATCGTGCCGACCAGCGGCGACCCCGACGCCTTCGTTCAATTTGGAACGCCGCTGGCGGCCCAGAATCGGTCGATGTTGAACGAGCTGAAGTTCTAGAAAGGGCCGCTCGTTCAAGGTTGAAAGATCCCCACGGTGTCGGGAACCCACGCGGCAGTCGGCACGCGCGAGCTTTCCGTAGGGTCCCAGCGTGGCGCCTTCCTCCTCTTCCTCCTCGTCCTCCTCCTCCTCCTCCTCCCTCCTCCTCCTCCTCCTCCTCCTGCGTCCTCCTGCTCCTCCCTCCTCCTCCTCCTCCTCCTCCTCCTCCCTCCTCCTCCCTCCTCCTCCCTCCTCCCTCCTCCTCCTCAGGGCTGCCCGTGGGCGGTGCGGGCGTGGGCGGCGGGGAGCACTGCGACCCGGTCGTGGTCGGCCACTGCGCCCTCCGCGAGACCACAACGGCCGGAGCGGGCGCGGGCAGCGCGGGCGCGTGCGCCGTGCTGTGCAGCGTCGTGGTGCGGCCAGAGCTGCGGAGCGTCCGCAGAGGGCCTCTGCACACCTCTCGAATCACAGAGGAGGTAAAGGTACCCATATCGCTACCCTTCGCCCGTTTTTCCCTTTGTTGGGCCTCCTCGGAGGCCCTCGTCGCCACCGTTGGATTCGCCTCGAAATTCTTGTCAGGACGCACCCCAGGAAAGGTCCAGGGAGTGGCGGTACCGGTGCCTTCTGGCTTCCCCAGAATCGGGTGTTGCTAGAAGTGCCCTTGGCCCAAGGTACCCCCAGGAATTTCAAGGAGGCCCCCACGGCCTCCAGAGCACCCCTCACGAGGCCCAGAGGACCCCAGAGGCTCCAACATTGACTGAAAAGCTGGGGGCGCCTTGGGCCAGCGGCACCTTGAGCAACCCCCGATCGAAGGACAATAAACGACATTAAATTAAACGTTTGACGCTCCGCGCGGATTTCTTCGGTCTGCCGGGCGGCGCCTCTGGCCCTGCCCATGGGGCGCTCCGCGTACCAGGGAGGGGGTCCAGCGCGGATCCAAGAAATCCTCGCGGAACGGCGAAAGTTTTTGTTACTCTAACCTCGGCGGCGAGATCCGAGTTCTGCCCTTGCCGATCAACGATCCGGGCAACTCGATGGGCGACAGGGGTAGGATGCGGAACTCACCGAGCACGTGGCGAACTCCGAACCCTAGCCCCGCCTCCCATCGATTCAGGATAATCGATGGTTAGTGGGGGTAGGGTTCGGGCGTCGCCACCTGAGACCACCACCCAGGCCTGGCCATGGCCATCCTGAGCGCTGGCATGGAGTGTCCGCTGCTCGTCCTGGAGATCCCTCATCGCCATGGCTGGAATCTCCTCCAAATTCTAGTCGGAACGCACCCTGGGAGAGGTCCGTGGAATAGCGGTGTCTGTACTTCTCTCGCCCACCAGGGAACACGTAAACAGTGGCACCAATTGAGCAACTCGGAGGTCCGCGCAGATTTCTCGGATCGGCGCTGGAGCCCCACAGCGGCGCCTCCGGCGCCGCCCATGGCGCCCTCGCCAGGCAGGGGCGCTCCAGCGCCGATCCGAGAGATCTCCGTGGAGCTCCGAGTTGTTCTGTTTATGTCACTGCTTGGGCCCAGGATGGCGGTGGTTAGGCAAGCGGGCGGTGTGCAGACGCCCTCGGCGTAGGAACAGGGGCGTCGGCCGCTTCATGGTCGAGCGCGCCGAGGCCGAGGCAGGTCGGCCGCGGTGACGTGCGCGTAGGATGATGATGCTGTTGATGAGGATGATAAGGTCGATGTCGACGATGATGATGAGCATGATGAGCATGGTCATCCTCATCATGATCATGATCATGATCATGATCATGATCATGATCATGATGATCACGATGATCATGATGATGGTGATGGTGATGGTGATGATGATGGTGTTGGCGATGGTGATGATGATGATGATGATGATGATGATGATGATGATGATGATGATGATGATGATGATGATCATGATCATGATCATGACGATGACGATGTTGATGATGATGATGATGATGATGATGATGATGATGATGATGATGATGATGATGCTTATTTGAAGGTGATGATGGTGATGGTGATGGTGATGGTGACGGTGACGGTGACGGTGACGGTGGTGGTGATGACGATGATAGTGGTGTTGTTGATAATGGTGATGCTGATGATGATGATGTCGACGATGAGGAAGAGGATGAGGACGAGCATAAGGATGAAGATGAGACAGAGGATCATGATAATGATGATGAGAAGATGATGGTGGAGATGGTGAGGATGACGATGACGACGACGACCATGTTGATGGTGTTTCTGATGATGATGATAGTGGTGATGCTGGTGATGATGCTGATAATGATGGTGATGGTGAAGATGGTGATGATGGTGATGATGATGATAATGGACGACGACGATGTCGACGATGATGATGATGATGACGCTGTTGATGATGGTGGTGATGACGAAGACGATGACGATGACGACGACGATGGCGATGATGCTGCTGATGATGATGCTGATGAAGAAGAAGATGCTCATCATCATCATCAGCAGCATCCGTAGCAATTTTGGCTCAAGGCCAAGATGATGATTCATTGACTGCCTAAGCGGGGCAGGCTCCCATCCATCCCCCCAGAGTCTCGTGCTCATGCGCCTGCAGCAACAACCAGGGGTGAGCTGGCACCCGTTGCGAGCTTTTGCCTTCAAGATTCTAGCTGTTTCAGCTCTCCATATCTTCGGTGCTGCGCTTCGGACGGAGACAGCGCGGCTCATAGAGGCCCCACGGCGGCACCAATTGTCTGCCGAATGGCTTCGGATCGCGGCTCAGGCTCTAGTTTGTCCGATTCCAGTGCTCCCAAGCAGCGTCGATCTCATCATCGAAGACACGGTGCCCACAGTGGATCGCGCAGTGACCGAGGAGTCTCCACCACACCTGCAGCCAGCCGAGAGCACCGAAAGGATCGACAGGGCCGAGCACCGAAGGAAGTTCAAGCTAGGCATCGTGACCACTGTTCTACACATGATAAGGGTTCTCGCCGTGCAGGCAGCTCGGGCGGCAGCGCGGCTTGGCTCCAACAACAGCAGCATCACCGACAAGCAGCATACGTATGTCAACTCCACATGCAGAGCGGCCCCGAGCTGATCCACTTCGTGACCGAGATCCGTTGGCAAATGCGTGTGCTACTCAAGTGGATGGGCCACCCACACCAAATACTCAACAACGTGCTGGCGGACATGGCGCTGGGACAGTGCAAGCGCTGGAGGCCAGGCTCACGACTATCTTCACCGAGCAGGTGCAGCTGGCCACCTCGAGGCTCCAGGCTGAGACCACCTCCATCCTGCAGTCGGCCACCACCACTCTTCACGACGAATTTCAAACAGTTCTTGGTCAAGTTCGCAAACAGGGTGCGCGACCGGACACATAGGACTACGCGGTCAGAGACATCAACCAGAGGGCCCACGTGGTCGAGCATGAGCAGCAACAGCTCCGCGCCGACGTCGAGCGCATCCAGGCCAGCCTGGTCATGGCAGAAGCGACGCCCCCACCGCTTGGCATGGCAGCGCTGGCGGTTTGGGATCGCCCACCAGACCCTCGCGTTTCCTCCATTTGCGCCGGGACAGTTGTTCAGCCATCCGAAGTTCGCAGGGCGCTGGAAGCGTGGATCAACGCTGCTGGAGCGGCCATCTCAGATGTGGAGCTGGCGGGCGACGTTCCATGAAGGCGATTCTACTTGCGGGTGCTGGGCGGCGCAGCGGCTTCCTCCCGTGGCGTCTCCCTGGCGAGGAACCTTCGCCATGGGGGGGCATGGAGGCACTTCTCTTGCAGCAATGCCAACGGCGCCGTCGCACCGCTCTACATCAACGCAGACAAGAGTTCCGAAATTTTGCGGCGCGAAATGCAATCGAAGAAGCTCGTCCAAATACTCGGAGAACGGCGCGAGGAACATTTCTGCAGGAAGGTGGGCGACGACGGGGTCCTCGAGCGCAGCGCCATCCCCATCGTTAGCGCGGAGGTCGGAGGCAATGCCTCCGCGGCCATCCAGCCCATGCGGGGCGGCGCGGCCTTCGCCGGGCTCGGGATTGACAAACAAGGCATCAACGCCACGTTCCAGCGCATATTACGCTCCACGGTCGCATCGCTGTGTGGTGCATGTATTGTTAGATGTGGCCTTTGGAGTATCAACCTCAGGAATGCAGACTCAAGCCCAGGGCAGTTGGCGTCTTGGAGTGTCAGGGGACTTTGCTGCCATAGTGCCCGACGACGGAGAAATAATCAACTTCGCCCCGACAGATATATGCGCCAGGGCCCGTTCATTATGCATCAAGAATCAAATGGTGTACGACGACAGCTAGAGGTGCTCGTCGCGCCCTCGCCGTTTTTCCCGATCGCGCATGGCATTCACAGGCGTCGCAGGCAAGAAAGGGCGGAGCAGCGTTCCTCCTGCCGCGGGGTCCTCATGCGCCCCCAGCTCTTCGCGTTCATGTTCAATATCATGTCTAGGCCCCTGGGCGGATCGCTACGCTTCGCGTCGGCTCCGCTGGCGGCCATTATTTTATGCTGGTCATGAATGTACACAACTGCGAACTTGTTCGTTACCCGCTCCAAACCACTTGTTGCCAACACGCGGAAGGGCGCGGTAGAGCGGGGCCATGGCGACCCCCATCGTCGCGCGCTCACTGCCATGGGTGACTTCATCATGCGCGAAGAAGGTGGACCTCTTAGCAGCCGAACTCAGTGGCAGATCCTATAACCGACGGCGCGGATATTCCAGCCGAGCGCGATATTTTGTCGTGCGTTCTTTGACCTGGCGCAGGAAGTGCAGGCCGACATCCCAACCTACTTCAGTCGCCAACAACACGCCGCCTCCGCCATCGACAGGCCCTTTCTTGTTATCCCAGAGCAGTTTCTCCTCGACACGGATGTCCTTCTGATTGTGGATTCTGACCCGCATGAAATGTCCCAGGGGAGGCTCAGCGACCACCCCGTGCGGTTGCGCAGCCTGGCGTTCAAGGCACCAGGAGACGCCGCGGACCATCGCATTCCAGATGTCGTGTTCAGCGACGTACGGTATAAAGTTATCTTGGACAGGCTGATGGATGCTGCGGAGCTGGATCTTTTCCCTCCAGTTACTGGATGGCAGCACTGGAAAATTCTGATGCTTGAAGCGGCAAAACAAACTCGAGATAACTTGCAGCGACTTCTGTTTCGTGCGAGTGGCTAGCGTGCCCGAGGGGGGCGCAACATCACTGCGCAGTATATATCGTGCCGCCTGGGGGCAAGATTCGAAGCTCGAAGCGCTCATCCTTGTCAGCTTTGACGTGGGTGCCAAGTATCTCCAGCGTCAGGATGGACAAGTTCAGCTTCGGGAGCCACATGCGTTCCGCCCTCAATTTCATTCACTACAATCTGCTGAGCTTCAGGCTAACCACGACTTTGCCGCACAAGCAGCTCAACGCGCCCCTCGTGAACAGCAAGTGGCAGCCCGTCACTTCGAACCTATCAAGGCTATTCGCCGCCGTGCCATGCTATGGAGACCCCGAGGCCGCCGTCTCGTGCTAGCAGGGATTCGACCTGAGCATGCTCTCGACGGCTTCCAATCGGCAATCTCCGGAGCCCGCCGGTGTCTTGGGGGCTCTACGGCGTCATTGGTCTGCGGTCTTTCGGGCGCGACCGGCCAGCCGGCTGGAGATCAGACGACGCTTGGAGCATCGCTACCCGGCCTACGAGATGGCCGACCTAGCGATGCCCATCGTCGCGTACCTAAAGAAAACGCTCAGACTGGTGCGACGCAGTGCTCTTGGCCCCGATAGGCCCCCCCCGAATGCATGGATGGTCTCGGGGGGCCAGATCGAAGTCCTGCGCGGCCTCTCGCAGCACCTCGTGGCGGACCATCACGTCCCAGAGGCCCTGAATGACTCCATCTTCGCCTTCTTGCCCAAAGGAAGTGAGCCCACTGATGCCCATGAGTGCCTGCGGGGCCCAGACCAGATTCGCCTTTTATCGCTGCGCAACGCGGACTCCAATATCTTAACTTCGGCGGCCAATCAGAAGCTCAAAGGACTGGCCCGTGCGCGCGGCCACCAGGCCCAGCAAGGATTTGTGCCGGGCAGGAATGTTCTCCAATCTGCTCCAGCTTGATGCCGCTGCTTGCTCTGCTAGCATCAGCGAGACAGCCGAGGCGCAGGCGCCTGTCTTTGTTGCGCTCGATATAGCCGCTGCGTTTCTATCCCTTGGCCACGACTGGCTGCGGGAGGTGCTCTCTAGATTTGGCGTGCCTCCTGGATATCTGAATATGCTCGCCTCGCTGTTCTTTGAGCCCCGCAGTTTTGCCGCGCTGCAGGGCGGAATGCAATGCATGCGCCATTTGCGTTCAGGGGTGATGCAAGGCTGCCCACTTTCAGGCTCGGCGTGGGCCATCGCGATGGGCCCGATTTTAACTCCGGCGGCGGAGGTGTCGTCGCCGTCGCCACAGGGGGTGGTCGGAGGATGTGCTGATGATGCGGGGCTGGTGCAGCTTTGCCTGTCCGGTTTAACGCGTGTCTTTCTTGTGTTCAACGGCGCCGAGAGTCTAGCAAAGTTGCGCGGCTCCAGCCCAGCAAGACAGTAGTTGATCCATTTTGGTTGGAGGTCACGCCAGATGTAGACCGACGCGTTCGCGCATTTCTAGAGACGCACATTCCAGAGTGGAGCGGCTCGAAGATTGCTGGCCATGCGAAGTACCTAGGCGTGCAGCTTGGCCCCGCAGCCACAGAGAGCGGGGCATGGGCGGAGGCCGCTCGCGAATGGTGGAGTCCGACGCGCGACATCCAGCGTACGGCCGCGCCTTCTAGTGTCAGCCTGCTTCTGTGCAACAGCATTGCCCTCTCGACGCTCAGCGATCTCGCGCAACTGTTCCCATTGCCGCGCGTTGCCACGCACAGAGAAAAGTTCGCTCTGCACACGGTCCTCCGTTTGCCTCCTAGCGCGTTCCGACTGGCTGACCTGTTCTCCTGCAACGCACACGGTCTAGTGGCACCTGCATCAGCGGTAGTCATGAATGCAGCGACCTTGCGGAGGCGCGGCTTCCACGCCCTGCGAGGCCGGGAATCGCAGTTGCACGAATGGTCTGAAGCTGCGATCCTGCAGGCACCAGTGGTGCACTGGACGCGTGGGTCATGGAGTGCATCATGCTGGAAGATAGAACACGGTTTCTTGCGGCGCTTTGCTTGGCCAGCCGAGGAGCCGCCCTCTTCGCCCGCCCTTTTGGCATGCTGGCGTTTGGCGCTGGCGGCGGCCCGCGATGAACAGGCCAGCGCAGCGGGGGAAGGCCGCGAGGGGAAGGTCCAGCGTGCCCTTTCCTCCTCGCTGCGGGCCTCTCTTTTTACACCTAGTTTGAGATCGCCATCGCTAAGCGTCTGTCTGCGTGGGGCTTATCTGCCTCGATTAGTGGGGCGGTGGGTGAGCGGTGGGGGGACTGTCTGACGGTGCTCCGCACCTTTAAGCCTGCCTGGCAGCGGGTCTTGTTCAAGACCCTCGCAGGAGGGTGAGCAACATCGCATCGCACGCATGTCAGTGGAGTGACTTCTTGTATTTTTAGCGGCAGCGAGCAGCTTGAAGCTATCTCCCACGACCTCTCGCGCCCTGTCCTCGGTGAGCTCCTTGCCCTGCCCTCCTCACCTCTTTTAACGCCCGGCCTTAGCGCCGACGACGAATGCAACTGTGCATCGTGCGCAATCTCCCGCAGTTCCGCCATGCGCCTCAGTGCGCTGTCCTTTCACACCTATCGCAAGCTCAAGGCGACGCTGGTTCACGGAACCGCAGCGAACCCTTCAGAGCAACTTGCCGATGTAGCAGCTGCCTTGCACGCCGCTTACAACTAAGCGTGCGGCCAGACTGTTGTCCCCCGGGCACGGCCGATCATCAGAAGCAGCACCATCTTCAGCATTTTCATTACTGCCATCATCATCAAAATCAACATTACCATCATCATCATCATCATCATCATCATCATCATCATCATCATCATCATCTTCAACAGCATCATCATCAACATCAGCATCACCATCACCATCGACCGCTTTCGAAGCCTCCTGGAGGTCTGGAGTGTTCTCGTGGCTACTGTTGGGCGCGGCCCAAAGAGCTGTCCTCGAGATAAGCAGGGAGGGGTCCAAGGACGCAGTGTGAGTGAAGATGGGTTGAAGGTGGCGGCTGTCCACCAAGGTGTTGGACCTGGCTGCGGGGGCGTGGGGTCTGAGATGGTCCTTCTGCAGACCAGCCAGCTGGCAGACAAGGCAATGAGAGACCGCAGTGCTTACGTACACAGAGTGGCCGCCCATTATCCGTTGTGGGCCGCCTTTTGGTTCTGAATGGACATTGTTCGCGGTTTCTCCTCCCTCTCGCTGCCACTACGTATTTTTACTGCGCTGTTCGTAGGACACGGATGGCACTGTATTACACGACGACTTCGACGCACCCTGGATTTGGTGGCGCGTTGTGTCTGTCGAGGGTTGGAAAGCAGTCCGTCCCTTGCCCACGGTGGTTGGTGATGTCACAGTCAAGACGGTGAAATGGGGACCGCTGTGGGCTCAGGAGGGGCAGGCGTTTTCAGGTCTCAACAAACATATCGACAACGCTGAACGACGATGCGATGTTTTAGCGTTTTCAGATCGGTGGTTTAGCGCTTTCAGGCTGAACACGCAAAAAGAAGACGCACACCAACAACCCTGCAACTACAAAAACAACGTAGCGTTTGTTTTAGCGTTGTCAGACGGTCAACAGCCCAAAGTAGAACACGCTTACAAAAAAACGCCCACGGCGCTTTCAAGACGAACCCAGCCCCAGGGTGCCCCCCCCAGGGCGCCCAGTTGCAAGCCACACCTTCTGCAGACCGCACCCTTCGGGGTCGCCGAGTCGCCGTCGCCGAGAGGAGCACAGGAGACGCTGCCAGCCAGTCGGCACGGGCGCGCCACTTCTGCGGCGCGGGGTGGCGCAGCTTGACATCGCTCGGACGTGCGCGCTTCTCTCGGCAAGGCCAGCGCCAGCAGGCCTGGACCATCCAGCATGAGCGTCTTGCGGCAACAGGCGCACGAAACCGACCCATGCGTGCGGAGTGGTCGTCCGAGCGACGCAAAGGAAGGTGGCAGGACAGCGCCACCTCCCTGCACTTCCGAGCCCGGGCCCGCCGAACACCTGCCCACCGGGAGCCCCCCCGCCAAGAGGCGTGCGCCCGCGGGTTCTCTTTCCTGTACGTGTGGACCGTGGACGGCACCGAGGCGCTGCTGCGCTTCTACCAGCGGGCTGGCTTCGAGCTGGCGGAGGCCCTCGAGGATCCAGTCATCCTACAGTCGGGGCGCTGAGGAAGGAACCCTTTTCGCTGGGGAGGGGTTCGGTGTTCCGTGACTGTTTTACAGTCTGCTTTGGGTTTTCCTCATTGCTTCCATTGGAAGTCGAAGTTTAATTTATGGGAAAAAGGGGCCTCGTTCCTTATTTAGGACTCCTTGGGTCAACGCCCCGACTGTAAATGGGGTCGGAGCAGGTCGGGGTCAGGTCGGGTGTGCCAGGCGCCTGCCAGGCGCATCGGCGAGCAAAGTGAGACTGAGCTCTGCAGGCTTCAGGTCAGAATACACAGCCGGCCGGCGCAGCGGGAGGGGTCAGAAGGCGAAATCCCCCCCCCCCCAGTCCCGACGCTCATCCCCGAGCCGGCGATTCAAGGGGTCGGGACTGGGGGTGTGGGTGGGTTTTTTGCTTTCCTGGACCCCGAAAACCCACCCCCACCCACAGTCCCGACTCCTTGAGTCGCGGGTTCGGGGATGGGGTCTGGACTGGGGGTGGGGGTGGGTTCTCAAGGGGGAGGAGGGAGGGGAGAGGGGGACCGAGGGAGCGAGAGGGGAGGCGGTGCACTCGTTGTCAGGCAGCTTGTGGGCGCATTCCGCCCAGTGCTGGGTTTGAGTCGGGCACGTCCCTCTACAGGAGGAAAATTCTTGACGCTTCGCGTATCCCTTCCAGCCCATCCTACACCAGGCACTCGAACGAAGAGCGCCTATGATCGGCAGCTGTTCTTCTCCCCCTCTTCCTCATTCTCCGCCTTCTTCCTCCTCCTCCTCTCCTCCTCCCTCTCCTCCTCCTCTTCCTCCTCCTCCTCCTCCTCCTCTTCCTCCGCCTTTTCCTCCTCCCTGGTGGCGTCTTGGAGGTATCTTCGAACGGTTTGGTGGGCTTTTGGGCCTTGCGGGCGGGCGGGCGGCGCTCCGCCCGCCCGCGCTCAGGGCCCAAGAGGAGAGTCCAAGACGTAGTTCGCACTCGGCGCAGTTTGTTGCATCTTTGCCGTTCGGCGTAGTAAATCTTATATGGTGTGCTTATGTATCGCACTGTCCTTCCGTCACGTCATACCACTGTTGAGGCATTTGGAGAAAAATGAAAGCTTCCGATGTATTTTCGACCTTGCCGCAATCTCCTGCAACAGCAGTCGGACGTGACGCTTTTCTTAGTTTCCGTCTGGAACAATGAGAGCAATTGAGGCGTCGAGTACGGATGTGCAGGAAGAATGACATATTTCTGTGAGAAGCATTTGATCGTCTCGGTTGCTCTTACAGGTGTTTTCGCAGTATTCTGGGCTTCGCGTCCCGCGCGAGCGCTCGATTGAATTTATGTTGAAGCAGTTTTTGGGCGTCGGGGGTCCTTTTAGACGCCATCGGGGCGCTCTGGGGGGGGGGGGGGGGGGGGCATCTTGGAGCAAATATATCACAGAAGAGCAGAACTTTAATTGGCGTTGCCCCTCCAGACTGTCTAAAATCGCTTCCTGGACCCCTGTTGGATCGCTCTTGGAGCGCTCTTGGACGCTGTCGAGGCAGCGTTGAGGCTCTCTTGGGCCCCTGTTGGGGCCCAGCTGGGACATCTTGGCGCCATCTTGAGGCTTCGGATGGGCTTCGGAAGCGAAAAAGTGAGAACACCAAGAACATTGATTGTCCCTAGGGTTTTGGAACATGTCTGAACCATCTTCAGGCATCTTGCGATATCTTGAGCCATCTTGGAGGCGATCTTGGGCTCTCTGAGGCCTTCTTGGAGCCGTCCTGGGCCATCTTGGACGCACTGACCGCTCCCCGCCCCTCCTGTCCAGGTCAGTGGGGAGGGGGTGGGGGGAGGGGTAAACCCCTCCCCGAAGGGGAAGAGGGAAGGGGTGGAAGAGGAAACGCCCTAAACCACCGACGCCCAGAGGGCTGGTGGGATTCAAGAATAATCAAAGAATAGTCTGGGGACGATTTTTTCTTTTCACTACTTTTGGCAATTTGGGAGTATAGTTTGCTTATCTTTATTTTTCGTCCAAGATCCGCCTGTAGGGGGACATGCCCGACCTAATGCTGGGTAGGTCGACCACGCCTTCGCCTGTACACCCACCATCGTGGCTCGAGCGATCCTGGCTCGCAGGTTGGCGCCCTGAGCAAGCTATCGGAAGGGCAGCAATAGTGTTGCGCAGCTTCGCTTATTCGTCAGTTAGGATAACACTTAGAACACGGGCAGTTGTTCTGCTCGTTCAAAACATAGTTATGTGGCATTCTCGGAACAGAAGAGCACGGTATGGAAATAATTTTACTGAGGCATCCAGCATGGAAGTTGTCAAGGCGGCGTTCACTTGCCTGCAGCAGCCTAATTGAATCGATCTTGTACAGCAGCTTTGGAAGTACAGTTGCGCTGTATAGCTCTATTGTCCTATATCGGGGAGTTTTGGCGTGCGAACAGCTCGCTGCATTGTTTCAAAAAAATACCCGTTGCCTCCCCGATGAGCCGTGACACTTCTGGCTGCGTTGCCCCGGTTGCTGTAATTAGCCTTCCAAGGTAGATTGTTTGCTCCACTGTTCTGAATCGTCTTCGCCGGGATCCCTGACAGAGCGAAGATATCGCCGTCGTGTTTTACGCGGAGAGCACCGGTTTCGTCACAGTTTTACTCCAAACCGTACAGTACACCTTCTTGAATAACCGTATCCAGTAGTAACTGCAGCTTGTTTGTGTCGCTGCTGGCAAGCATGGTGTCGTCCGTGTACTACATGTTTGTAGTAACCAGAAGCTGTGGCTCATGGATGCTCACCCTTGCTGCTTCCATCTTCCATATTTTGGTTTTTGTCGTAGAACATCACCAATTTGAGACCATTTCTTTATCGCTTGGGGCATGACGGGCGTCATGGCCCCCGACCCCCCCCCCCCCATGACGTAACGCTCCCCCCCAGTGCGTTCCAGGCACTGCCGCCGTGCGTGTTGGGATCCGCGTAGGTGTCCGCGTAGGAATCCGCATAGGAGTTTGGTCCGCAGTCGTCGTCGTCGTCGACGTCGTCATCGTCGTCGTCGCTCGTGGCTCGTGGCTCGTCGCTCGTCGCTCGTCGCTCATCGTCGTCGTGCGCGCGGACGCGGCTGGAGCCTGTTTTTTTATTCCGGGCCGATGACGGCAATCATCTGGGGGGGGGTGGAGGGGATCGATGACGTCACGCTACGCGCCGGCGGCGCCTCGGAATGCTTATGAATGACGGAGGACGGGTGGCACCAGCATGTAGGTGGCGATCTGCACCACAACGCCTGTGTACACCTCAGTGCCTGCGTGCACCACAGCGCTTGTGTACACCACACCGCCAATGTACACCACAGCAGCCGCGTGCAACACAGTGTCAGTTTGTGCCACCGCGCGCGCGGGCGCAACAGCTCTTGTGTACACCACAGCGCCTGCGTAGATCACATCCGCCGTGTGCAACACAGCAGTGTACACCACAATGCTTGCGTGCATTGCAGTGCCTGTGTACACCACGGCGCCCGTGTGCACCACAGCAACCGTGTGCAACACAGCACCACTGTTGTATGTAGTATGTTTGAAGGAATCATTATGACAGAATGGAGCGTTTGTGGCTTCCACCGAAAACACCAGGAAATGATCCTTATGGAGAAAGGAACGCCAAGGGAATCTACGAGTCCTTCCGAGTTCGCCCGCACCACCGTGCACCACCGTAACTCCTCCCATCTGTGTCCACAAGGCTCCAGCTAAACTGGCCGTCCGAGAAAAAAGTGGGCCGATTAAATAGAACATTCTGCGGTGCACGCTGAATTGCGAACGTGTGCTGCAGCGCCAACCCGCACGACAGGGGGGCAGGAGGAGGAGTAGGAGGAGGAGGAAGAGGAGGAGGCGGAAGAAGAGAAAAAGGAGGAGGAGGAGGAGGAGGAGGGGGAGGAGGAGGAGGAGGAGGAGGAGGAGGAGGAGGAGGAGGAGGAAGAGGTGGAAGTGGAGGAGAAGGGAAGAAGGAAAAACGTCGCATCCGATTATCAGCACTTTCCTGGCGTGGCGCTTCCGCAACAGATCCTCACGTACAGGCTCCCTCTACCTGTCCTATGCACGCAGGCAGCGTGGTGTACAATAGCGTTACGTTGCACGCGGATGCTGTGGCGTGGACAGGCGCTGTGGCTTGCACAGGCGGCGCGGTGCACGCAAGCACTGTGGTGTACACAGGCGCTGCGTTGCACATGGTTGCTTCCGGTGTGCACATGTACACCAGCGTTGTAGTGTACGCGAGCACTGCAATGTGCACAGGCGCTGCGTTGCACACGGTTGTTGCGATGTACGTAGGTGCTGTGGTGTACACGCGCGCTGTGGTGCACGCGAGCGTTGTGGTGTACACAGGTGCAGGGGGGCAGATCGCCACTTACATGCTGCTCGCGTCGTCGTCGTCGTCGCTTGTCGCTTGTCGCTCGTCGCGTCGTGCGTGCGGGCGCGGCTGTGGTGCCGGGGCCGCACGGGGGGGGAGGGGGCGTTACGTCATACCCCCCCCGCCCCCCCCCCATGACGCCCGTCATCGCCGAGCATAAAGAAACGCTCTCTTGCACAGTGATAAGAAGATAAGGAGAGAGTGGATATCCTTGGGCAATCCCCGCTTGCCGGCACCTTGTCGAAGAATCCCCAGCTTTGTCTTCTAGGTATTTATATCGGAGGTTGGGGAGTGACCCCAACGGGAATATCGGTTTCGGTTTCGGTTCGTGTCGTGCGTACGGGCTAGGCGAAGTTTCGCGAGTTCCATCCTTAGAAGCCATATATTGCCAAAAGGGCCGCCACCCCGAGCGCCGGGCGTGGCCGCCGGTTATCCCGGCGGTTATCCCAGCTGTTGTCCCGATGGTTGTGGTCGTCTTGTCTTGATGGTTGTCCATATAGTTGTTCCGATGGTTGTCCCGATCATTGTCCCGATCATTGTCCCGATGGTTGTCTTGATGGTTGTCCCGATGGTTGTCCCGATAGTTGTCCCGGTGACTGTCCATATGACTGTCCGTATGGTTGACACGATGGTTGTCCCGA